AGCCAGCCATGCTGGCTGGGGAATTCTGGGAGTTGAAATCCACTCATCTTAAAGTGGCCAAGTTTGGACAACACTGGCGTAATGAGACTTCAGAAGCAGGAACCAAATTTTTATCAAATTTGGCAGGATGTTATGGTTTACCTTAACAGTAATAGATGATGATTTGGCATACTCTTTATATATGGCAAATTCTCACATGCATCATACCCGTCTCTTGATCCACATTGTCGTAGATCTTTTTTGTATTTTCTCTCTCTATTTTTTCTATACATCTGTCTCGGATGCACGTTAACGGAGTTACCTGATATTGCTTGAAATGAAATAAAATTAAAAATCTAAAAAAACAAACAAACCCACAGAGGAAAAACAAATCCCATCGGTGAAAATGTTTTGTTTTAAGCCACAATTAACAATCCCGTAACAAATGGGTACGATATTGGCCAATTTCATAATGTTGGAAACTTAGCAGTTTCAAGACTGCAATTGTTACAGCCTGGTGCCTATACCTAAGAAATACCTAGACATCCTAAACACGTCATTCGGAACGCGTTCAATTTGCCAGGGGGCCGATTTTCACGGTCCTCAACCAAACCCCCTTGCTGCATGAAAGTTTAGCAATATACAGAAAGCGCTTGTCAGGTATGTTCTATTTTCAAATGCTTACAAGCATTCCAATTTAAAAAAAATAAAATCCAAGTCTAACTAGGTATTGGGCTGAAAGCGACGTTTAAAGCCATCCACACAGGATGCTGGTTTTCTCCCACCCCACCGCTTCTAAATCAAGTACTTTTTCAGCTAATGAAAAACCCCTCCGATCCCAGTCATGTTAGGAAAACGGGACCTTTCCCAGAAATGCTTTTAGCTTTTGCTGACGTGCAAACTGGTGACCAACGCAAGAGCTATGGAGGCCTCCCCCTACATTCCCAAGGGGGAGTGGAAGAGAAAGTGACGTGTTCTGGGCTGTTTTAAGATCTTCCTTGCACGAGCCAGGGGAGGAAAAACACACCACCCTGAAATCTGTCCCAGGGCCCACCTCTTGGTGCAGTGGGTCGTGCTCTCTCCATCCCCCCCGCCAGTTCTTCGCTTCCCCGTTGCCTCTCCCCCTGCCCCCTGCCAGAAAAACAGAGTTTTCTATTTCTTTGGGAAACAGCAAGACGCAGAGGCTGACCGAAAGGCCCGCTGCGAGGTTTCCCAGGGTTCCAGCAGCTTCCAGTTCAACCACTGGGCTGCAAAGAATGAGGACCCCGAGGGGAGGAGTGGAAACTGGGACGCCGATGAGAGAGGGATGGCCGAGGCGCGGAAGGGCTGGTCGGAGCCATCGGGAACCTGGGAATATCACGGTCTCGTAGCTAAGGGGGTGGCCTGCTTCCAGCCACTCCAAATCCCCCCCTTTTGCAAAACTCTCAGCAGGCAAGCAGGAAACCTTTTTGCAAAAACGTTGATCAATACCAATAAGGGATGGATCACTTTAGTGCCAGGCTCCCTGAAAGCTGCCAGCTAGACAGGGCAATTCTGGGAGTTGTAGTCCAACACTCCTAGTGGGGCACCAGGTTGGAGAAAGCGGGAGAGTTATTCCAAGAGCTCAGAACCCAACCACATAAATTGCTGGGTGGAGGCAGCTGAGTCTCAGCCCCTGGTTTTGTCTAAAGTCGGAAGCTACCGGCTGGACGGGAGACCACCAGGAATCCAAAGATCGTGGGTAGACTGCGATGTCAAGAAAGCACCGTGGAAGCCACTTCCTTACTGTTGCCACGAAAACTGCCTGGGTATGTCCAGGAGCTCACCAAAGTCGAAGGAGGGTTTCCCTTAGGGGGCGCATGCCTCGAACGGGGGACCTCCAGCAATCTTGTGGGGGGCCAGACTTTCTGGCCACGGACGCTGTGCTTCCACTGAAAGCCCAGCAGGGGGAGCTCCCTGCTTTGGGAACCCATCAAGGTGGGAGGGTGAGTTTGCTTCAGCACCCAGAGAGCTGAGCTGGGCTGGGTGCTGGCATCTGGAGGGTGCTCCCTCGGGGCCCTTTTCGTTGGAGAACCCCTGCAGACCCAGTCTCACATGCAAGCAACGAAAGGAAGATGTAATGGAGATGCCTGCATGCTAACAAAGTAAGTCTGAAATGGGGGGGAGGGGGGCAAGGATGGCTTGGAGAGACCCCCCCACCTTCTAAGCCTGTGCAAACAGCTTGTGGGGAGGAGGAGGCAGGCTACAAAGAAAGGGATGAAGCAAGGACCCTTTCTTGGGTCGTGGGGAAAGGCCCAAGAGGAGGGCAGAGAATGGAGAGAGAGAAGAAAAAATCTGGGAAAGGGCCGTAAAAAGAAAGACC